TGATACTTTGGTGTTCTATGTTTTTCTTGCAAATGTGTTGTTTTCAAGATACATTTAGATGAAAAATTTTCAGATAAATATCCTGTGTATAGATATTAGTAAAAATAAATATACACATAGATAGAAAATTCTCAAATTCTCTTGGGCAGTTATTACTATTTAAATTATTGAAAAGAAATAGTTTCGATTTAGGTGGCCTATTATACCTAATATTACGTCAAATATACTTTAAGTGTTAATTTTTACATTTTCTTGCAATACACTTATAGCCGAATCTAATTTCAGGCAAAACTTACGACATAACTTATATTAGATCGTTGTTCGAGTCGCCGCGCCCTGAAAGCTGGGGCATCTACAAAAGGAAAAATGAGGACTCGCCGTGGGAACCGTATCAATTTTATTCGGCGTCTTGCAGAGACACTTACGGCTTACCAGATTCAAAGGAAACTAAAAGAGGAGATGATACAAGAGTACTTTGTACTTCGGAATATTCCGATATATCGCCCTTGACAAAGGGTACAGTTGCGTTTTCCACTTTGGAGGGTCGACCTTCTGCCTACAATTTCGAAACAAATACGGCATTGCAGGTATAATTTTGTTTTCATAGATTAACTCCCAGTAGTCAAATTGTCAAAATCATATTAGGTGGTTGTCAATCAGGTCGAGCGTTATTTTTAGTTGTTCTTTAATAGTAACAGCAATTATCGTTTTTAAGACACTGTAAATATTTAACCATAATATACTTTGCTATACTCAATTATATCTCTGCAATTGTTTAGAAGAGAGGATTCAGTCCCTTGTATAGACAAAGCACACTTATGAATATGTAAGATACGTTTACAGCTGTTTATATTAAAGCATGCGTATATTAACAGAATATCAACCGCTTAGAAGATTCAAACTCTTTCTAGAAATAAATAGAAGCTTCGAAGGATTTTATAATTATTGTTACGAATTCAGAAAGATTTTGTAGTTATTTGAAAGGATAATGATAGTAATCTGAGTATTATGATAAAACTACAAAAGATTTCTGATAAACTTATAAAGATTTAAAGTAAATACCGAACGTTGTTTATATTACAAGGTGTGGGTCCAAGCGACAGATCTTAGAATTACTTTGGACAAGCTAAACACATTCGGTGACGAAATGTTTGGAGATGATCAAGTACTGAAGTCCTACTACTATGCTATCGCTGATATCGCCGTTGGAGCACGCTGCGCCTGCAATGGCCACGCCAGAGAATGCGTAAACAGTACCAGTGTGGATGGAAAAACTCGCAGAGTATGCAGGTAAGATACAGATGTACATATTTACCTCATATAAACCTATTTTTATTAAGATATGTATTAATTAACTTGCAGTGGTCAAAAACCATCATATATAACTTTATAAGGAATTTCATTAAAGAAAAGGAAAACAAATTTTCAATGTCAGAAATTATTTGTACATTAACAGTAAAAGCTGTACAAACTTTTTTTATGGAAAATAATTCGTTTCATTTTCAATGGTTTTCTCAAATAGAATACATGACATTTGCACTTGCAACATTATAACTATTTTAGTATGTTTAAACGATCTTTAGGCTTTTAGATTTACATACATGTTCAACAATCCACAAGAGTTACCAATTGATTTTACAGAAACTATTTATTAAAATTCATATTATAGCTAATTTATTCTTTTAAAATGCCAAAATCAAATATATATATATATATATTGTATATTAAATGTGCTAACTGGTAGTCTTAAATATATATTTCTTAAGTGGTCAAATTAAATGAAACATTTTGCATTTAAAAATACATAATAGCAGTGAAATATGCATTCAAAATAGTTTGCGTTTATCTGTTACCATTTTATTACAAGATGTTTTCGAAAGGCAGAGTTTTAAAATGTACATGTATGAAATGTATTACTCTATCTATATACAGATGCGAGCATAATACCGCCGGACCAGATTGCAACGAATGTTTACCATTTTACAACGATGCACCTTGGGGACGTGCTACAACTACAGATGCCCACGAATGTAAACGTGAGTACTGAACTTTGTAGCATTAGTTAAAAATCTGGATGTAGTACGGTATGACTCATCGATCCTAATAAAACAAAATTTTATTTAGGAATAAATAATATATTTATTTATTATATATGGTTTATATAATATATATTTCTTTGAATATAATATTTTAATTTCGGGTTTATTACTAGTATTTGAAATATTAATAAAATAACTGTCGGTCTTCGTTGTAGTAGTGGTCACCGATAAATCGGCGAGCGAATATACAGGGTGTATGCCATAACTGTCGCCACAATTTTCTTTAGATTTCTAATAGTCGGACGAAAAAATGTTTAAAACAAAAATGAATCTGTTTTCAGCGGGTTATAAACTGCGGTAGAAAATATTTGAAAAAAGTTTTTTCTTCGACAAAAGGGTAAGGTCACTTTTTTAAAATGACATTACGATTTAAGATTTTTTAGTATTTTGAAAACATCTAGGCGCCAACCATGACACTACATAATAGAAAGTACATATTTCTATTTAAAATATCGGACGTGACCTTTATAGAACCCTCCAAGGTCGCAGT